CGGGTGGTAGGCACTCCAGTGGGCACGCCCGTGCAGCGGGTCCGCCAAGTCTCCACTCCGCAGGCTGACGCCGCGAGGTCCGGGTGGTAGGCACTCCAGTGCGAAGCGTGCCTGTCTCTAGCCCTCACTTCGCACTTCGCAGGCGCTATGGCAGACGCTGCTAGACGGAGAAAAGACCCCGTGATTGTAGGATTTATATGTCACCCTTGTTGTTTACACGGCCAATAAAAATCGGTTTATGATAGTATTGATTGTTTGTCCGCAAACGGCCAAACAACATCAACAGCAGCTGGGACTGGCGCGCCGCACCGGGACGTGAGGCGATAAAGCCATTATGTTCCGGGGGGAAAGGGGTGGCGGCGGTGGTGGAGGGAAGGCATTCCACCGGCTCACAACGTCAACTACTGTCCTCTTATCAAAAGCACACCGTCAACATTCCGGTGTTTGTCGACGCGTTGAATAAATCTAAATGTTTTCTGTCCCGCAGAGACCCGAGCGAACTGCAGAAGCCGTCGTCGCTAAACTCGGCCGTGGTGAGGTTCTACCGCTACGTGCAGGCCGCCCGCGACGGGCAGAACGCGAAGAACTGCATGCTGCTGTACCCGGCGTGCACCGTCAACACCGAGCTCTGAGGGCTCTGAGCAGGGGAGAGGAGTCCCAAGCAGCGCGACACCGCGCCTCTTATAGTTTCTACGAACGTTTCGACAGTTGTTATCCTTCCCCCCACCAGTTCGGAGTTCGTCAGCAACAACTTGAATGCCCACGGACTTCGGACTGGGCCAACAAATATCGGAAAGTATTGTATATTTTGCCTGAAAATGTTTTACTCTGGGTTTGCTGACACTGTGTGAACGTTCGCGGGCCAAGTCACTTGTGCTCCTTGGGATGCAGCCTCTGGTATGACTTTCCAACATAAGAGCAATTCAGCCTATAATTTATTTCTGGAGAAAAAGATCTCGAGCGAAATGGCGCTATGTCTGTAGATGAGATAATCTGGGAGAAAAATGGTGAAAAAAAGGATTTGTTTGTTTCTAATTTATTTTAATGTATGTAAGTGAAGACTCAGGTAAATAGAAATGATTAATTTCTAATATTTGATTATGAAATAAACACACTCTTAGAGAATGTCGAACATAGAGACAATCATTGTTAAGAACGAAAGCATGTAATGTGTTTTTTCGGGTTGTTTCTACTACGTACTGAAGAAAACAAATATAAACAAGTTTTAAGCCTATTTTAAGGAAAGAACTATGCAAAGGATTTTAAACGAAGTTGATATGTCCTCTCGCTCACTCGTAGTCAATGTAGTAGTTATTTAATACTGATTGTAAAACACAGAACTGTATGGTTAGCAAACATGTCTTCTCTCAAGTCTTAAGGCATGATCCTGCTATCAAAGTCATATTATGTTATAAAATATGGATACGCATTTGTTAAGTTTTAACGTTAAAAAGATAATTTTGTACTCGCAAATGAACAGTAAAACAATCGATTTTCAGATATGATTCCCTATAGTACTTGGAATCTTGGATGATAATCATAATGAAAAACAATATCTTTGAGTGAAATCTTTCGAAAAAATTGTGCAAAATCCTATTTATTTATTTTTGTTATTGTTGTGTGTTGTGTGCGTTTGATTATGAGGTGGCCATAATTTTGTTAATTCTTTATATACTTTTTGTGTTAATTTATTCTATTATTTGTAGGAAATTTTGAATGAATGGAAGTGTGTATGTATTTATTCGGGATGAATAAAAAGTGTTTCTTCGTTGATCCTTGAAAGATGTGTCATAAATTGCCCTGCTTTTATTTATAACCTCTTTAGAAAAGCCGAGAGCCACCTTAGCCGACATCAAATGGGTTGCCAGCTCCAGCCAGCTCCCAGGGCGCCATACGCGCTCTTTCATCTCTATTGACGTCGTAGCCCAGACAGAGCTGGAACTAAATCCTCGCATGTACCAAAGTACAAGAACGGTATCCATAAGTAAAGGTGAGGCACATGATGCCTACACAGTTTAACTCAAACCGGATTTGTATAAATTTTTTGTGTACAAAGTTAAACAACCGAATTTGTGACACGCATTCTGCGTTGACACTTTTGAGCATCCACACCTGCGAACTCATTCTTCTCTGTACAAATTTGTCAAAGACAAACCGTAGGTGTAAGTGGCACGAATGCTTTTTACAAAAACATAATGCAGTAGCGTGTGTCATGTGCCTATATGAACTCGTACGCACTTACAAAAGTTCGGGGCGCATCAGGTCATAGTTTGGCGTTCTCTTTTTGGATGAGATGATGTACATTCCCGTGTATTCCAACGTGTAGTGACAAAGAGGCCGCGCACCGGACCTGTAGCGCGAGCCATCCGAGCTGAGCGTGCGCGCGGGCCCGCCCCTGGCCCGCCCCTGGCCCGCCCCTGGCCCGCCCCTGGCCCGCCCCTTGGCCCGCCCCTTGGCCCGCCCCTGGCTCGCCCCCCGCCCCCGAGGCCCGCCGCCCCCACCCTTCCGGGCTCCCGGGCCCCGGGGCCCAGGGGGTGGCAGGCGGGCGGAGCGGGCGGAGCGGCCGCACCGCGAGGACTCAGTGTGCGTCGAGTTGCCGGCTGAGAGGGTCGCTCTGCCCCGTGAGGAACGCACCGCCAACCGCGCGTCGCTATACGAGTCGAGTGCGACGATCCGAGCCGCGCCGGGACAACGGCGGGCCGTACGGCGTCTTTCCGAGCCGGGTCGATCCGCGACTTCCTTGCACCTGTTGTTGTTGTCGTCGACCCGGGCTGGCGGGCTGGGGTCGGGGCGGGCGCGCAGCCAGGATGTGAGAGGGCAGCGGCTGCCGGACTGCCGGGGCGGCGCGCCGAGGCGCGTGGATGGGGTGCCGACACTCCCGCCAAGAGGGAGCCTGCCGTGAAGAGGACCCGCCGAGGACCAACCTGCGTGAGTGCAACCTAGCACGTTCTATACACGAATAAAAATAAACGAAAAGGGTGTCCGGCTTATGCTGTACCACAACATCACGCGTGTGCACGGGTAGTTGCCTATTCGCTAGGCAATACGAAACGGCCAAATTGAGCTCTCATAGAGCTGCCGGGCACATGCCCGCAACACATATACGCGCATACCGACTGACTTTGTACTATTTTGTGCGTAGCTACGTGAAACTGCCAACATACATACCCTACGTGCGAAAATTTGTACTTAACTATACAATATTGTACGCAATTATGCAAAATATCGCTTAACTTTGAACGTACGTTACGTATAGTTGTACGTAAGCAATAGTAGTAACAATTCTGTGTACGTACCGCGGGATTGCCTATTCCAACAATGAGTGTCTCGCAGGCACTGAGCTCTCGTAAATTTGCCCAATTAATCTGACAAAAGTGGACAGTTATTTTTGACATAGTATAATACGCAGCTGAAAGGAGACAGAAGGCTCATCTACTCTGTACGCAGCGAGCGCTCTCTTGGGGGCCAGAGTGCAGTGCAGACGCAACAGTGCGCGTGGGAGGCGAGGGAGCCTCTAAGGTCAGCCGGCCGGGACGGCCCCGCTAGGACGGGGTGGGACGGGGTGGGACGGGGTCGTACCGCCAGGGGGACGGGCCCGCCCCGCCCCGCCTCACGGCCGTCGTAAAGGGGCGTCCTGACGTATACGGTCTGTTTAGAGCCAATCTTTGGCCACCTCGGCTCGGCAGAAACAGAGAGACGAGGAGCGAGTAGGAGGCGGGGAGGACAAGGACGGAGAGAAAGAGGGGCGGGGGGAGGGGGAGAGCTCGCGGCAAGTCGGTATGGGATCCCGATGGCAGTCTAAGAGCCCCCCGTCCCTGAGAGGCGCCACCCGGCGCCACTGCCTCCTCCCAGGGCTCCCGGGGCGTAAAGGAAACGTGAGCGGCAGTAGCCGGGGCAGGGTCACTCAGCGGCCGTCGTGTAGCCCCGGCGGACGACATCGGGGACACGCGGATTTCCGATAGGAGTGGAGCGTTCCGCGGAGAAAAGAGGGGCATCAGAGTTTTTCACCATTCCTACCGCACCTGCTTGCTTTGGGAAAGAAAAGTCGTGACAAGTACGACAGCTTATTGCTTGTCGCAAAAACATGTGGTGAACCTTTCCCCTAAAAAGAAAAAAACTTCAACTGGTAGATGCCAAGGCCGAGGGAAGCATGCCTTCTAGGTGGGGGGGCCAGAGCAACCCAACACGCGTGCGGTGACCACCCGGCACCCGGCGCCCACTACCCTGATTCCTTTGCACCACACCAAAGAAAAAAACAAGAGGAGAAGGACGGATAAAAACAGGATGCGCGGAATCGCACAGCGCTCCCCATCCACCCCCACGATATATTACTTCCGTGGGATATAGGCAGGAGTTTCTGGGGGCGGCGTGGGAGGGAGCCTCCTCCTCTCCCCGCATCCCTTCCCCTCTTTTGCCCTCGCCGGGCCCGCCTTGAGCCGGGGAATATTCCGTTATTAAAACACGGTCTACGGTGTAGGGTGGCTCCGCCCGCCCCGTCAGCGCCGCCCAGGCGCGTCCACATTTGTCTTTCCCGCGGTATGGCCGCCGGAAGCAGGAAACTTTCGTGCATAGCCCTCCCGCGAGTATAACTTTGAATCGTACCCCGATCGAGAGTAGCAGACAGGAGGGCTCGGAGCGTGGAGCAAGTAATTGATTGTTAATAACGTTAATGGAAGAGTGATCTCCGTGATCTACTCCTCCCACGCCGCACAGAGCGCAGAGGGCCGCAGCCCCCCAACTTCTTCTCCTGAGAACTCGCCGTTTCCGCTCGACGCGCCATTCGGTTCCACCCCTATCCACTCCTCTTCTCTCTTCCACCCCCTCCCCTCTCCCCCC